CCTCTCCAACCTGTGCCCTCCTGCACAAGACTTCCATCAACTTGAAACAGAATTTTATTAAGCAGCCAAAATCTTTAGGGTACTCTGTTGCACTGAGAATATCTGTCCTGTTGCAGGCAGCAAATTTCACAGTTGGTAGTCACCTGTTTAATAGAATTGTCAAGCGTTAGTCCTAAAGAGTGTCATGAAATTGTTTCCAAAATTCAGGGTGTTCTATCTCAGAAGGCAGATTGCCCATTCTGAAGCTCCCTTGGTCATCAGTCCAGTTATAAAACCTATACAAGGGCAATTGGTGAGAAAATCCTCAGGTCTTACAGAGATATATATCACTCAGAATGAGTGAGGAAGGTAGTAAATTTGTGTAGATTCCTATTATACTAGCCAGGAAGGGATGGCACTAGAGGGCTGCAAAAGCAGAAACTGAAGGCCTTGAGCTGTCGCTAGTGGCAGATTATATCTTATCTCTTGGTTCATTGTCTGGGTTAACTAGTCCATTTGAACTGCAACTTCATTCTCATACTGAAGTAAGGCATTGGTGATCTAAACCACAGTCCGTGGGGTTGCAAGAGGATCTGTAGCCATTACTTAATCTTTGGGGTGGAGGACAGGCTGCCTAAACCAGACCCAGGAATTCTGCCTTTTATGTATTGCAAGTCCCAAGGTGTGAATCTTGCCAATCTTCCTTTTCTGAATCAGTAGCCCTGATTCAGTAGGAAGCCTCCATTTACTCATTTCTGAGCTTTGAAGGTTTTGGCCTTCTGTCCTTTGTTTACAAAATGTCTGTCTTTAGCAAGCGAATCAGAAATTCCTGCACACCAGCTTCAACCCATACTCCTCTCCTCTCCTCTCCTGTCTTTCAAAGTGAATATAATAGACCTTTTCATTTTAAAACATTCAGAAATCCCATTTTAAAGAGGCAGAAGTGTCAGGTTCTGAATATTTTTCAAAGTTGCATGCCACTGGCTACGTTCAGATGATTGTTAACATCTTAGATTGGAAATGAGTAATAGTGAGGTTTAGGTGTGTGCATTCCCTCCTCCCCCATTCCTCTGTGGGCGAGGAAAGAATGAGAAAACATTCTCTTTCTAGTTAGTAGTAAATTGTAGTTTGTTGCTTTCTCTAAATGGGGCAAACTATGACTTTTTTTCCTCAGGTCACATTTGCTCACAAACCAGCATCAAGTTTATACATTATTTGGAAGCAAACTGTTTAGAATAACAGGAGTCCAATGTGGCTTTTTAAAAAATCTTCATTCAGTGATATAATAGTTTGGGGTTCAGAATATCACTTTCAGTTTAAATCGGCTCCAGACAGGCACTTGGCCTGCTTATTATCAGGTGGTTATTTATTTTAATGGAGCCTTGATTGACAGCAGGGAGCGAGCCACTGAACTACGAACATATCAGTGTTGAAAGGTGGTCCAATCATGGCTTTGGCACACTGTTTCCTGAATCTCTCAGGGTACTGTAGATGCTTTACTGTTTGCTTAAACGTTATGTATCTTGGCAGTTATGTTAATTTTGCATTAAACAATGAAGATATTTGGCTTTTGGTTTTTTATTTAAAAATGTTTCCCTTCTGCCTTTTAAAAACCTGATTGCTCTGATTTTTGACAATTTGCTCTTCAAAGCAGTGGGGTTAACCCTGTTTATTTAAACTATACAAAGCTATCACCCGTAACTCTGTAATCAGTTCACTGAAATCTAAAACATTTAAACTAATACGGAATAAAGAATAGATGCACAAAAATGTTAATAGTGTAGATACTTGGACACGCCTGGTATTTAATGAGCTCCGTGTCAGATAAGAAGATTAAGGAGTTTCCGCTGAGTGCTTTGCAAGAACACTTTCCATGAATATAGCGTAAACCTTTTATATCCTTTTACACATGGAATTCAGATGACTTTTCCATCCATATTATAAGAAGAAAAGAACTATAACTGAAGTTCGGGAAAGTAATTTCAAATAACTAATTTAAACAGAGGCAGGAGATGAAATTATTAGTTCTTATAACCAGTGCAGCTTTACGGGGCCCTGTACAGATGGACTCAGATGGTCACCACAACATAACCATAGATTTCTATGTTATAGTTAAGACGTTGGCTTAAGATTGGGGACATCTAAGTTTAAGTCCACTTTCAGCTACTCATGCTCTCTCAGTCCAGTGTAACTCACAAGGTTGTTGTTGTGGAGCTGCCTTGAGCTCTTAGAAGGAAGTTAGGATATAGATCAAATGAGTAAATACAAAGTACAATCCCAGTAGACCTCCCAGATATTATCAAGGATGAAAAGGATTGGGAACAACACTAAAGACCAAATGCCTGGAGCCTATTACTGTGCAAAATGTGTCGGGTGAGGCAACCCTAGCCACTCCTTTATCACTCCTTTATCACTTTATCACTCCTGATGCTTCTCTAGTGATCTGAACTGGCATTTCTGATCAGAGTGCCACATCAAGGAATGACAAGCTGGGCCCTCTGGGGTCTTTATCCTCAAAGGTAAAGTTTTATTTAGAATTACTTTTACATAATATAGTGTAGGTGTTAAATTGTTAGACCGGGACTAGGAAAATCTATTTGAAAAAACTGAACAACTTTAGTCCAGTCACTGCATCTCAGTCTAACAAGATTGTTGTTGAGAGGATTAAATAAAAGGAAGCCTCCATTTATACCCCTTAAACTCTCAAAGGGAAAAGAGAAACAAATATGTCATTATAAGAATTGGACCAGGCTAGTACTTGGATAGAAGGTCATCTGAAAATACCAAAGTTATAGGCTAGATTGGGTTAGGGTTAGGGCTAGATTGGGAAGAAAAGTAAAACTTTTGGGGGGAAAAAAAACACCAGTGGCAATCTACATCTTGCTACCAAGAAAACTGCATTGACGTGTCCATGTTGTCACCAGAGTCAAGTTTGACTCAAATGATAGTTTACTTTAATTGTACTGGGGGGGGGAGGGGGGGCATGATTTTAGCTTCTTGTGTAAATTGTTCACATAGCAAAGTTAGGAATTTGTTATTTAATACTGACAGATACTGTGTTTAACTTTGCACCATGTAGGAGTTGTGTCAGCTTCTTTTCACTTACGGATTAACTGAAGTTTCAGTTTGACCAGTGGGGCCTAAATGTATGTATGTATGTATTAAATTGATTTATATGGCTGCCTATCTCACAAATTTGACCCTGGGCGGCTAACAACATGTTAAAAATAGGGGAAAAAATCAGCAAAAGGTGAAAGCATGCAATGGTTGCCAAGGATAAACCTAAACAAAACAATTGAGAAAAACCTCTCAACAGGCCATCTAACCTCCCAACCCCCAGGTGCAGGAGCACATTCAGGTCTTCAGTGCTTTGCAAAAGGCTGGCATGGTATAAATGTAAAGAACTGTAAGTAAAGAACTGTATATGTTCGCACTCATTTTGTAGTTTACTGATTTATAGCAACATTTTTATACCAACCTACTTCTAATGACTCAAAGTGGCTTATTTCATAGAGAAAAGAAAACCATCAAAAATCAACATAATACAAAAAAAAAATTACAAATTGAGCCTGTTACAGTCATGTAATACTGTACTGAAGACACAGAGTTGGCTGCTAGGAGGGTACAATTCAAAGTATTGGTTTTAGTCTTTAAGGACTTACATAACTTGGCTTCTGAGTATCTTCAGGACCATCTTCTCTAGATAGAACGCACCTGCCAAAAAACATTTGTCCTAGTTGGGGATGCTGAGTATCCTACATTTATCAGAGGTGAAATTGATGAAAATTTGTAGGCAACTTTTCTGTGGGATGGACCTCATTTTCTGGAGTTGCCTCCCCCTAAAGCCAACCCAGATATCCTTCCATAAGTTTGTTAAAATGGAGCTATTTTCCGCATTAACTATTTCATTTCATTAACTGTTGAAAGATAATGCCACCCATTACAATTAAAGTGCCGATGGTTGTTATATTTATAATTGGTTTCTCTTTTCTTGTGCTTGTGTCTTATTTTATTTTTATTTGTAGTTTGTTTTTTGTGGTTTTTTATCGTTGTAAAGCTACATGAACAGCAAGTTTTGGCAGTGTACAAATATAATAAATAACATCATTTGTATCCATTTATGTTATTTGTTAATGACATCATCACACACATTACATAAAATGCAAATAGAGGGCAGATCCAGCAGCATCCACAGAAACTCACTACTTTCATCAGACTAACAAAAGTAATGTTGCAATGTCACACTGGAGGCTTTGCCCCTTTGGGGCATCCAGGCATATTCATATTCATAGGTAGCCTATCTTTGATTATTGAATAACAATTACAGTTTAAGTTCTTCCAGAAACAATTGAGTGATAACACTAGGAAACAGAATGCTGGACTAGATGAATGTTGAACGAGGTTTTGAGCCTCAAATATCCATGGGACATGCCTTGCAATTAATGCGATATAGTATTCCAGAGATTATATGTAGTTTCTTTAAAAGCATTGTATGTTTCATTTGGGTTACATGGGTGCTTTTTTTAAAAAGGAATTCAAACAGCATACAAATTTCTATGCTTCATTATTAATAGAGGTTACACCTACATACTTTACTATTCTCAGATCTGAATATACTGTTAATCCCATTTTAAAAACCATAGGACAAGGCAGAGGGAAGAGTAGAATATGAAATCATTCAGTGATGGAGAAAAATTAAGATTACTAATGTTGACTGGTTCTTGTGTGAAACAAAACTTCCGTCTCTGATCTGATCCATGAGAGTTTTCTAGCACTACTGTACCATCAAGTATCCCTGATTGATAAATTTTAATTATATTGGTCTTAGTTATTAAACAGCAAATATGGTGGTTAATTTCTTCCAAATTCTTTCTCACATAATAGAAGTTTTCATGGAACACGGCACCAGAACCTTGACTGTCTTGGGTCTTTCTGATTCCTTGCTTTATTGCTCTCCTATATTTGAGAAATAAATTTTAATTCTTCAGAGATATTTTTATTTCTTTTTTTTCTTCCATTAGAAATTGAAGGAATATCTGGAAGGGAGGAATCTCATCACCAAGCTCCAGGCCAAGCATGACCTCCTTCAGAAGACTCTGGGAGAAAGTAAGCATGAGAATTGCTTGTCATTGTGTCAGCCCAGCCCTTGTAATTACTGAATTAGGCAGCTGACTGAGCATAACAATCTTGGGTTATCAATGCTAAGTGGACAAAGTCATGTTTTATGGATTTATTATTCCATCCCTGCAGTGCTGCTTAAGTAATGGCAAAAGGGAAGTGCTTAATGAGCCAATAATGTGCAACATCTATTTGTTTAAGTGAAGCCATTTTCTCCCCACTCCCCTCCCATTTCAGCATATCTACAGAATCAAATTAGATTAATTCTTGCAATTAATCATTTTTTTCTCATGGCGTGCAAATATTCTATCATTAGGGAAGCACTTTTATTGTTGAATTAGGTTGCTTCCCATGTCTGTATGGGTTTTTAGTCATTCAGGAAAACTGGGTGCTTTCAAGCAGAATTAAATTGCACTTTGGCATGCATATAGCCTGTTGGCACTTTAATGAAATAAATGGATTGCCAGTGGTTATTGCTGAAATTAGTTGTCTGGTGCAAGTGACTAAATGAAGATGCCATCAGAAATTATGGATATGAGCACCCAAGAAAAGCCCATCCCATGATCTGGGAAGAGCAAGGATAGGGAATCTGAAATAAGTAGATAGAACAGCTTTCTCTTTTAATTTAACTGCAAGGATCAATTCCAAACTGTAAAGTCACTCTCCATATTGATCTGTGTTCCACTTACAGGATTCAAGTCTTTGGAGAGAAGCTGTAAATCATAGAATTTATTCTAAACTGTAATACGCAATGAACCAGTATTTTGCCAGAACTTTCTTTGATTCTTGTAAAATCTTTCCTGAGCCATATGGCTGGATTCCTCTGGCCCAGAACTGGCTGCTTTTAGTATATATTTTATATTCGGGGAATAATTATAGTGACATGACATTTTTATTTCTTCAGAGGACTGTGCATCTAGGAGCAGTAATGCAAATGACTTGGAAAGGGCTCTGTGGCCTGGATTCACAAATTATTGGATGAAATTATTTGTTATTTTTAAACAAAAACATAACCAAAATTGTTCTTGTTCATTCCACTGGAAGCCAAAAGAAGCAGTATATGTATTTTCCAGATTTTCCAACTAAAGAAATTATTCAGCTATCATGTAAAGTAAAACAAGTCAGAAAGGCTGTTTCCTCTGAACATTTTCCCTCCCTTTGAGTATCTCCATATAATACTCAAGCTGACCCTGTGACAAATCACATTCCTGGACCATTGCTGACTTCTGCATTCCAGCATCCTGCTTCTCTTAACCTGCTTGCCCCCTTTAACTGACTCCCTGCTGAGGGAGCATCAGGAACACTGAAGGTATTTTTTGTCTGATTTCATAAAATCAGAAGGCCCCCTTTTACTGGTACTTAGTCATGCTTTTGTGAATTCACATTGGTCACAAAGATCCCAGTCCCCGAATCTCAGCTATTGAAAAAGAGATAAATGCAATTATCTATGTGGGCAAGAATGCTAGAAGAATATGTTTCTTTCTAATCCAAAGCAAAATGCTATAAATTAAAGTGGGTTTAGATGTTAATCTTAACCACTGTTGATAAATGTTGGACCAAAAACTGAGTGCTTGAAATCTTTGGCATTGTTTCCTTGTTAGAAATTGCTTGGAAGACTGCAAAATATGACTGGTTATCTAGCTTTGGGGGGAAACAGTATTGATTTGTTTTCTCTGCCCCACTCCATTTCCCAGTTGCAAATAATTTTAATCTGGAGATGGCATGTTCCATTAATAAAAAATACCAGCAGGTCTTTTGGTATAGAATAATTATTTCCTATCTTTTATTTGCATTTGTTAATTTAATACTAAAGCCTTTTGATGTCACCAAAGTCATGTAATTTATACATATGAATATTCTGTAGTGGAAATGGGACAGATGGTAAGAAACTCTGGTTTAGAATGTTATTATAAAATATGAACTGTTTTGAATAATTGAGGTTTTTGTTGGGAGTAGAAAAGTGATTGTTCAAAATGTGTTTTTGTTGTCCGTGATCAACAATCAGCCCTATTCCATTCATTTCGTTTCTAATCTTGAGATGCTGGGGAAAACTCTAGCTGATGCAAATCAATACCATTCCAGTAGAGAAATCTATCTTAGTTTTGGTATGTGCTAAATAATGTGTAAGTTCTCCTTCACCGCTAAGTGAGCTCTTTTTAAATATGCCTATATTGCCCCCAGGCATTGCGGTTTGGTGTTTTTTTCCTCATGTGAAACATTTGTGGATTTAAATTTTTTTAAAAAAATGACAGGAAATAATGAAACCATGGACTCCTGAACTAACTGGGGTGCTAGAACATTGTACCTGTAGAGCAACCATCAGCTCTCCAGATGTACTACATGAAAGGTCACTTAATCCATAGTCAGCGTGATCAGGTTGGACAGAACACTCCATACTAATAAATCTGAAAATGTTGTCACATTTTCTAAGTGATTTCTGAAAAATGGTAATCTCTTCCTGAGAAAGCAGAGAAAGAAATGACATGCCTTTCCTTCTTAATAGAAGTTAAGCATTCCAGCATCTACAAGAAGTCAGTGTTTAAAGAGCAAGGCAAGTTCTCAGGCAGCTAAGAACTGTTTTGTGTATTTCCTGATCTAATAGAAGAGAATATCTGTAGCTCAGGATTGAGCTGTTGCATTCTTGGTGTTCTCTGAGCTTGGTGGTTTGCTTGC